ACCCACCCTACTGTTGGTCGGCGAGTGTGACGTCATTCACTTCTCTACGAACTCGAGTGTGCACTAAGCATGCTTTAGGTTGAAGCATGTCTGCTAGTACACTCCACCTAGAGTCAACCTGGCATTAGACCAGCTCTTATTTTGCGAAAGTGAGAATTCCGCTGGGTTCCCCGACTCAAAATGACCGAAATGGTGAGAAAACTCTTAATTTGAAAGCCCAAGGTCGTCAGACTTACCAAAGCCGTGCCCCAAAACCTTATATAAAGGGAAAAAGCCAAATTTTTTTTTTCCGACTTTTACCAAACTAAGTTTGACTCTAGGGTAAACAGGCCATAATACGACCCTTCGGACGAAAATTTCGTTCGTTTTGCGATATCTCGACTCATTCATGCCCAAACGGCCTCCCCAACCGCGAGCATAAAAAAGACGCCGTGCGGGCGGTTGGGGAGGCCGCTTGGGCATGAAGGAGTCGAGATATCGCAAAACGGACGAAATTTTCGCCCGAAGGGTTGTTTTATGGCCTGTTTACCCTAGAGTCTAGTTTGGTGAAAATCCGAAAAAAAAAATTGCCTTTTTGCCTTTATATAGGGTCTTGGGGCACGGCTTTGGTAAGTCTGACGACCTTGGGCTTTCAAATTAAGAGTTTTCTCACCATTTCGGTCATTTTGAGTCGGGAAACCCAGCGGAATTCTCACTTTCGCAAAATAAGAGCTGGTCTAACCTGGCATGTACCTTCCACCTGGAGCAACCTGGCACGTACACCCCACGCTGGAGCCAACCTGGCATGTACACTCCACGCTGCCGCATCCATGCAAGTACACTGTTGCTTTGCATTACGTGAACAAGGTTGACTACAGGTGGAGTGTACCTTGTCCACGTAAAGCATAGCAATAGTGTTCTTGCAGGTATGCGCCATCTAGCTTGTACTTGGCAAGCATGCTCCAGCGTGGAGGGTAGTGCCGAGTTGACTCTAGGGGGAGTGTACATGCCAGGTTGCCTCTAGGTGAAGTGTACTTATAGGCATGCTTAGTACACGCTTGAGTTTGTTGAGCACAGACCTAACTGACTACCACACTACTGATTCAACTCTATATGTACTACGTACACATCTATAGGAGTGCGACAGACAAGTATACATCTAGAAGTGTGCTTGGAGAAACATACTTCGTTGATCCAGGTGATGGGATGAGTGTGCTCTCTTATGTACTTGATGTGTAATAAGTACAATACTAGTAGTGAAGTAGACAGTTAGGTTTGCAGTGTGTTCGTTAGAATATGAGTTTTGACTCGTTCGTTTGTATTCAATGTCGTTTAAACTTGACACGGCCTTTTGATGGACTCTTCACTCGTCGCCAAGTGAAGAACAGCAGAATTGAAAAAATTGAGGAGGCAGTAGCGCGCCACCTGGCGACCGTTTCTGTAAGAAGTGTCAAAAGATGAACACTGAGTGGTGGCAAGTGTGGCTGTGGGAATGGATGGGGTACGCAGCATCGACCGCTAGGTAGCCCGCTTGTCAACACTTTCGTTCTTCACTCGGCGACATGTAGTAAGATGTCATAACCGTTTGAACAATACATCAACATTCAAGCGAACGTGATGAAATTCATCTACTAAGGAACATGACGCCATATTCGTTAAAGAACAGTATTGGACGCGTCATTCTGCGCCAGGTCAGCTTGAAGCGTTTCCAGGAGCACTGCCCCTTCCCTAAAGTGTGTGTCTTTGTTTTTAGTTGTTTTTCCCTCTCACGGGATTTGACCTTTCATGCATGTGTGTCCGTGTTATTAATTGAAGGTCTCAGTATGAAAGTTTATCCCTTATATCAAAGCCATTTGATTGGACCAAACCTTCGTGTAAGCGTTTTGTCACGTGTCCCCCCAGGGTCTTTCCAACTGATCCAGTTTGCCGTGATTTGTGCAGGCCGTGTCATTTGATTCGCCTCTTTACTTTGACATAAGTGTTTTTTTTAGTGCTTGGTCTTATTGTCCAAGTTCATGCGCAACAAAAATGGCGTTGTATAAACTTGTGTGACAGTGTGTTGAAGTTTATCATTTTGTATGTCAGAGGCTTAGGTAGACATAGCCAGGTATGTGCTTCTTAAAATATGTATGTCATGATTAGATTGCGAACCTGCCTGTCCACAGGGCTGTTGTGTCTAGAGTGGAAGCAAGAATTCAAGGGCTGATAAACTTTATTGGATTGTATTGGTACTGAATGAGAGGCGAGAGACGAATAAAAGAAATGTCAAACTTGTCACACTCGATGGTTTGTTTCCTTCTTGATACGCTCTTTCTTTCTTGATTGGGAGTATTATGCTGGGTTTTCCCGATTTTTCAAAATACAGCGGGTGACCCTGGGGGGACCCTGGGGGGACCCTGGTGAAAAAATCGCCAAAATTGCCAAAAATAGTATTTTTAAAATTCATAGATAAAAATGTGCTTAGAAGGTTTCAGATTCAACGTTGAACACCTTTAAGCTAAGTGGGTAGTTTCTTCATCATTTGGAAGGAAATAACATTGAGATCAGTTGTCGTTGGCTTCTATGCTCAACTTCACAGCTTTGCTCAGTCGACAAAAAATTTTGTCGTAGAAAGACTTCCTGCGTTCCTGGTTGACACCTACATGAGTCATCTTGCATGGACTCTATTCATTGATGACTTGTCGACAAATTTTAGTGACAGAATCTTGATATCAGCCCTACTTTTTTTTACAAACACCTAGAAGTCTGAAAAAAGGGAAAAAAAAGTCACTTTTTTTCAATGTTAAAATTTGAAAACTCATATCTCAGGACGGAAATTGAATTTGAAAATTCCGTCACTAAAATCTCTTCAATACATCTTTAGGATAACCCAAAAAAAATTTCAAGACTTTTCGTCCCAATGAAAGACGCAGGAAGACTTTTCCCCAACGCTCTAAAAAACACTAAAAAGCCACTTTTCTCAGAGACCGTTCAACATTTCGGATTGAATTTTGTTTTGGGAACTCACCATAATGAACCTAATAATTAAGCAAGGTTTCAACTTTCTGGGATTATTTTAAAGCCTACTTGAAAGTTTCACCAGGGTCCCCCCTTTAATAACAATTTGAAATGTCGAAATTTTTTCTTCAGTCAATTTATTTCCAGAGGGCGGACCCTGTTGTGGACTGTACAAGAATGTTTAAACAATGCGGTGTTTTGGCCAGGATGCATACAATAGTAGTTTGGTTAAAAATCCTCATAGATACCAAGTGTTCCTCTCAGATAGGTGCATTAAAAGTGATTTTTCAATGCTTCCTTAATTTCTAGGTTGTTACTTAACAGTTTAATGGCACTAGGAAGTTTATTGTGAGTTACAGAAGCTTGATAGAAAAGACCGTGGGTTCTATATCGAAGAGAGTTTAAGAGGTTTGAGGCTATCACCCTATCTAGTATTATGGTTAAGAGAATGATTGAGTACATAAGAGTGCTAGTGCACCTAGTACTATTGATAAACAATAAAAGCAAGACTAGATTTGATTAGAACATCAAGAGGCATGATCTTAGTGTTTATGTAGAGCTGCTTGGTGCTAGCTCTTTTATTCACATAAAGCATAATCCTAGTGAAGATTGTCCCCATAATAAAACCGAAAGTAGTTTTAAAGGTATATTATAAAGTTAGCTGCTACGCCATATTATACAGGGTGAGTTTTCTCAATGTGTCAATAATTTGCAGGCAGTTTGGGCATCCCTAGGGGACCATTTTTCACCAATGAACTAGTGGGCGCAAACGTCTAGATACGGAGATAATTGGTGTTTTGAATTTGGATTTTGCGCCTACAAGGTAGGCACCCGGTGCCACTGAGGGTGGCAGGACCTGTCGAGGGGGTGTCGCGGGACTAGCAGTACTCGCGGGAGTGCCACTTACCTCGCGGAAGTATCCGTGGAATCCTGCCCCCCTCGCAAAGACAGCCGTGAGATCCCTGTAAAAGGGGGGCCCCCATGGCAGCCCCCCTTTAAACCCGCGGCAACCCCTCCCAAAAAACATTTGCAAGGTCCGCCCCCCCCCTTCGAGACTCGAAGCCCCCCTCCTAGACCCGCGACACCCCCACGTGAGGTCCTGCGCCCCTCAGTGGCAGCGGTGCCTACCTCGCAGGCGCGAAGGCCAAATTTCAAAACACCAAATTTTCTCCGTACCTAGACGTTTGCGCCCACTAGTTCATTGGTAGAAAATGATCCCCTTGGGGTGCCCAAACTACCTACAAATTATTGACACATTGAGAAAACTCACCCTGTAGAGAATTTTTACTTTATACGAGGAGAATCTTCTCGACACGACACGACATTTGGGGTGCGTGACCACCCAGGGTTAGTGCGGGGGAAAATGGACATGACGAACTGAACACCCTATATTTTACTTCAAAAACCATATGCACCAAGGGGGTAACGACTTCGGGAATCCGGCTGACAGCAAATTGGGAGGTAATTCGGGTTAATCCAGGAATATTTTTGTGGTAATGCGGAGGTAATTTGAGGGTAATCCGGGGTAATCCGTAATCCGGCTGACACGAAATTTACCAGTCGTTACCCCCTCGATATGCACAGACTCGACAACTATCATGACTACAGGGTAGGTGTACGCCAGACTGTGTTTTTTCGTAACAGGCTTCGCGATGCTGCGCCAGTTTCGACAATCCACGCCTGGCGTATACACCTACCTTGGCCTGCGGCGCTAACCTGCAGGCTGCCTTCCTTGGCAGACCGTGAAAATGGGCGTGATCCCCTCAAAAAGAGCATTTGGTCATCAAAATCTTCACTAATGGGGCTAAACTTTCGGTCGGAGGTCTGAATGGGTTCTATTTTCGTCATCAGCAGCTTTAAAAACATTTTAAACGACATTGAACTTGACAAGAAGTTGAAAGTTCCAAAAAAGTTGTCTTTTTCCTGCCGTTTTTAAAGTGTTTTTTGGCTAATATGACTGAATGGATTGAGATAAAAAGCTGAATTTTGGTGTGCGGCGAGCCAAGGATATGCCCAATGACCCTGCAAAATCTCAGCAGAATCGGCCGAGCCGTTTAGGAGGAGTAGTGCGGACACACAGACACACAGACAGACATGAAAAACTTTTCAACCCCACTGGAGTAACAGGCTTCGCTATCGCTCAGCCAATGATGACCGGAGCAAATTTTGATGGTTAGCCTGTGCATATGGTATTTGAAGTATGGGGTGTTCAGTTCTTCCTCGCACTGACCCTACGTACTGAGCCAACTCCAATCATCGCGGTGACGAACGTCTCTAGAAGGCTTCCCACAACACATTGTCACAGTCCATGCACCGCACCGAGGCGGCTGGAAGTAGGCGGCGCACCGCAGCCAGTTGTCTTTGGCAGGGCGCGGAGAGGTGGCTCATGCCGTACCTCCACAGCACGACCCTGGACACGCGGAGGCCGCACAGCAGGGCGTCCAGGTCCTTGCCTCGGTGGGGCCAGTCCCCGCCCTCCGAGGTGCCGACTCGCAGCCACAGCACCTCCAGCGACGCACTGTGCGCCCGTAGCAGCGACGTTAGGGTGGGCCGGGGCAATGTCCACACACGCAGCCACTTCAGGGTGGCTCGTTGAAGGGCGGGCAGCACTGGGGGCTGCGTGTCCTGGCCGCTGTCATACACCAACGCCATCCGCCGCAAGCGAGGCATGGCGTGCGCGGCCAAAAGGTGTTCCCGGCGCGCTTCTCGGACGTCAAGCTCCTCCAGCGTCGGGGCGGCACTCCGCAGCACGTCCAGGACCCAGGCAGGATCACGGTGACAGTACACGTAGGTCAACTTCCGCACCTGCAGGCAGACGTCGTCAGCGGACACACTTCTCATTCCAGGGACGTGACACCACGTTCAAATGAATGTGACAAAATGTCACCTTCTTTTGAGTATCGCGTCACATTCGTTAGGATATGAATCGGCCAGAAATTAACTTGTTCTCATTCAAACCAATGTGACACTGCTCAAACGTACGTGACATATTGTTACACTCATTCGAACGTGGTGTTACGTTCCTGGAATGAAGCTCCTGTACTTCGTAAGGCTGAAAAAGTTCGTTAGGTTTTCATAGTGCACGAAGGGCATCAAGGTGGGTCGGAAGCAAGACTCACCCCGGACTGCCGCACGCTGGCCAGCAGGGACTCCTTCTCTCGCATGCTCGATGTGATAGAAGTCTCACTTAAATTGTTTAAATTAAGCGCTGGAATGGGCCCCGCTTCCGCTCGTATTGCTGCAATTGCCTTCGCTCTCGCGGCAGCTACCTGCGCTTGCAATTGAGTTGCCTTCACCGCTTGCTCTGGAGTTGCCGTTGCTGCGGGCTGCGGCTGGGTTGGCTCCTGCTGATCACGAATCGATCTCAAGTTTGGAAGAATGCGGGGTGGTCACTTGTTTTAGCTTCCCCGGTCTGATATTTGACAAGACGATCAATTGAAATGGTAACATTTTCATAAGAAGGCCAGGATTGAAAAGTTTGGATGGATAAAACAAGTGTTAGGTGTGACTGACGTGACTAACGGTCGGATATCAGCTATTCACTCTAAAGTTGGCATGCCCTGAAACAGGGCGCCTGTAAGCCGCACCACCTTTGGGCACCAAAGTCATTAAGCAACTGACCTTCCCCCATGGTAGAGCATGTGCAGTGCAGGTGCCTAGTTTCTACGTTTGGCGCCTTAGGCGCTGCTGAGCCGAGCCAGGTGTTCTCCACCCCGAGACTGGGCGTCAAAGGTGTCCAGAAACTGGGCGACATTTGGCGCTCTAAAAAGTGGGGCAGGCGACAAAGGCGTCCAGTTTCAGGGCATGGCAAATTTAGTCTGGTGGGCACTTCGACTCTGATCTGGGTGAAACTTCGTGATTTGGTGTAAGGTACGTCTGGCGCAAAAAATGTTGTGTTAGTGACAACCCCTTCGGGTAGTAATGCAGTTCTACAGAAGTAGAATTGGGTCGACAGGAATTTTGGAAATGAAACTGTCATATGGAGCCCCACCATCACTTCAGGATTCAAAAAAAAATAATACTTTGACTAAAAATTGTTTTCGAATATTTTCAGGCTTGTTTGTAATCGTACCTTGGCGATTCGTCCGTGGCGGTGCAGATGCAACACAAGCGCATGGATCAGGCTCTCACCGCCGCCGAGGTCGCCCACCCAATCGGCGCCGCCCTTGCGTTTTAGCTTGCAGTCCATGCTGTCCATCAGGCTGGCCGCGTCCAACAGCTGCTCCAGGTTCTCGGGCTGGGCGGTGTCCAGGTCAATGCCCTCGTCCACCGCCGCCTGCAGCTTCTCCTTGGCCTCCTTGACTAGCTGCGCCTTGGTCCGCCACTCTTGCAGCAGGCCCTCAACGGTGCTTTTGGCGTCCTCCAGGCTCCCCACCACCTTTGACGACTCCGTGTCCGCGTTCCCCAGCATCTGCATCCGCGGCGCCGCCCGCTCCGAAAGCACCTTGCGCGGCGAGCAGAGGGTGTGGCCGCGGTCCAAGCAAGCGTCGGCGTCGGCGGTCGCCTTGTCGCAGTCAACGCACCATAGCCTGAGACAGCCACATCCTCAGCACACAGTGGACTAGAACACTCTTTTAGGCGCTCAACACCCGTTTCAAACATCGTTTAAATGGGCCTACTTTGATAAGAAATTTTCCGCAGATTTCAAATCTGGTCTTATATTTTTATGTAAGACAAAATATTACGACCTCTACATTAGTTAACATTTGTGATGTCTTATTTTAAGTAAAAAAAAACACCGAAATGCCGTAGCAACGGGCTTTGTACCCAGATTTTGCAACTCTATTTTCTTCCTGGTATAATTTGAAGGGTGTGGGTGGGGAATAGCGAGTTATCTGCATCAGGAAGTGTGTACGTGGCATATGCCACTCTGCAAACTCCACAGTGTGCTGATCACACTCTGTTGAGCACGAGAGCGTGCTCCTCCTGGTAATATATGCAGTTGAGTACACGCTCGTGGGAGTGTGCTCGTGAGCACTCCCTGAAGAAAGTGTACTCGTCAGTACACGCTGAAGAGAGTGTACTCGTGAGTACGCGCTAAAGAGAGTGTCCTGAGTACACTGTTGAGTTTACAGAGCAGGATTAATAATAATAGGAAGATACATCTAGTAAACTACAGGTATGGAGGGGTCATTTCGAACGTTCAAATCTCCCAAGAGGGTGCTTCACTTCGCTCAGCAACGATTTTAGGCCCGTCCCGTTCATTTTTGGCCCGTCCCGTTTATTTTTTGTAAAAAAAATGACGGAGGGACGGGCATATAGTATGATCCCTGCTGTGCGTCCGTCCGTCCGTTCGTCCGCACTGTTAGGGATTTTGTTGTAAAATAACGAGTAATTCCCTGTTAATTCTGTAGGACAAATTGTTCGTAAGTTAATGAGTACAGACGTGATAATTCAAATCTTCAACCATATCATTTTCAGGTTTGTCTTGGTTTGCCTCGACGTAAAAATGTGAAAATAGTACTAATAATGTACCTTGAAAATTTTACGACTTTCTTTGTAAATTTACGATTTTTCCTTGTTAAATTACGATTTTTCTTTGTAATTTAACAAACTTTTGTAATTTTACGAACAATGTGTCCTATAGAATTAACAGGGAATTACTCGTTAATTTACAATTGAACTTGTAAAATTACGATAATGCTTGTAATATGACAACTTTAGTTCGTGAAATGACGACATTCTTCGTAAAATTACAGCTGAAGTCCGTAATTTTACAAGGTTAACCGTAAAAATCTGTGTAAAATTGTGAAATTTCTCTTTATATTTAGCCAATAACGAATACGTTCGTAAAATTACGAGTTTATGTTGTAAAATTACGATGGTATTCATGTAAAATAAAGTTGTAAAAATACGACTTCCCCTTACAGTGCGTTCGTCCGTCCGAGGACTTCCCGTGGTCCGATCTAGACCAAATTTGGTATGCAGCCTCCTTGGGTGATCCTTAGAACCGCCCGGTGGCAGCAAATCCGATCCGAGCACCGGGGGCGCTGCTGCAGGTGCATCATGGTCTACATGGGGTCGAGGAGGATTTCGGCTACGGATACAGCTAGCAGGGCATGTAGGGATATTTTTGGAATCAGGGCGACAAGACAAAACCAACGGTGCCAGTTTCAAGTGAATCGGAGAAGTTTGGACCCGGGTTCAAATCCCAGTGGGGTACATTTTGAACATTCTTTTTATTCGAGTTTTTGCATTGTTTCTTATGTTTTTGAGGTTGCTGATGACGAAAATAACATCTATTTTGACCCCAGACTCAGGTTCCAAACCCCGCCAGGGTTAAACATAGGCAAAATTCGCACATTTCTTAATGTACGGGACGGGCCAAAGTTGCCGGTGTATATCGCTACTTTTCCTGTTATTTGTAAAAAAATGACGGAGGGACGGGCATATAGTATGACTCGCACTGCTCGCTGGGGGCTCCGCCCCCAGACCCCCGCATGTGTGGAGCGCGTGCCGAAGTATTTTCAGTAAGTCCGTGGTGACCAAAGGCAAATTTTCTAAGGAAGTAAATGTCCTGCTTCTTTGAAAGCTCTATTTAACCGCTTTTGACCTTATAATAGGGCTACTTTTACTGCCCAAATAGATAGCTTGTATTGCATTGGCTACTGTGGCAGTGAATGGGTGCATACAAGGTCCGGAAAATATTGAAGACTGCTTTGACAAGGATAGAGGTGAAAGGAATAAAACCTTAGGTCTCTACGACCACTCCTTGACCCCAAACATTTCCCCAAACAACTGATGATTGATTTTGAGTATGTTGCCGGTGGCGGGGACCCGATTGCGGCACAGTTTCGGAAATGTCTCGACCAGACCTACCGATGGGGTGAATAAAAATTTTTAGTCGGTCGGTCCCCTTTTTTGAAGATTGAGTGGATTTTGTTGAATTTAGGCCTATTTAATCGTTTATGAGGATGTTGCCGGTGACGGGGACCCGATTGCGGCACAGTTTCGGAAATGTCTGGACCAGACCTACCGATGGGGTGAATAAAAATTTTTAGTCGGTCGGTCCCCTTTTTTGAAAATTGAGTGGATTTTGTTGAATTTAGGCCTATTTAATCGTTTTTGAGGATGTTGCCGGTGACGGGGACCCGATTGCGGCACAGTTTCGGAAATGTCTCGACCAGACCTACCGATGGGGCGAATAAAAAATTTTAGTCGGTCGGTCCCCTTTTTCGAAGATTGAGTGGATTTTGTTGAATTTAGGCCTATTTAATCGTTTTTGAGGATGTTGCCGGTGACGGGGACCCGATTGCGGCACAGTTTCGGAAATGTCTCGACCAGACCTACCGATGGGGCGAATAAAAAATTTTAGTCGGTCGGTCCCCTTTTTTGAAGATTGAGTGGATTTTGTTGAATTTGGGCCTATTTAATCGTTTTTGAGGATGTTGCCGGTGACGGGGACCCGATTGCGGCACAGTTTCGGAAATGTCTCGACCAGACCTACCGATGGGGCGAATAAAAAATTTTAGTCGGTCGGTCCCCTTTTTTGAAGATTGAGTGGATTTTGTTGAATTTAGGCCTATTTAATCGTTTTTGAGGATGTTGCCGGTGACGGGGACCCGATTGCGGCACAGTTTCGGAAATGTCTCGACCAGACCTACCGATGGGGCGAATAAAAAATTTTAGTCGGTCGGTCCCCTTTTTTGAAGATTGAGTGGATTTTGTTGAATTTAGGCCTATTAAATCGTTTTTTGGGGATGTTGCCGGTGACGGGGACCCGATTGCGGCACAGTTTCGGAAATGTCTCGACCAGACCTACCGATGGGGCGAATAAAAAATTTTAGTCGGTCGGTCCCCTTTTTTGAAGATTGAGTGGATTTTGTTGAATTTAGGCCTATTTAATCGTTTTTTGAGGATGTTGCCAGTGACGGAGACCGGATTGCGGCACAGATTCGGAAATGTCTCGACCAGACCTACCGATAGGGCGAATAAAAATTTTTAGTCGGTCGGTCCCCTTTTTGGCCCGTCCCGTTTATTTTTTGTAAAAAAATGACGGAGGGACGGGCATATAGTATGATGCATGCTGTGCGTCCGTTCGTTCGTCCGTTCGTCCGTTCGTTCGTCCGAGGACTTCCCGTGGTCCGATCTTGACCAAATTTGGTATGCAGCCTCCTTAGGTGACCCTAAGAACCGCCCGGTGGCAGCAAGTCCGATCCGAGCGCCGGGGGCGCTGCTGCAGGTGCATCATGGTCTACATGGGGTCGAGGAGGATTTCGGCAACGGATACAGCTAGCAGGGCATGTAGGGGTATTTTTGGAATCGGGGCGACGAGACAAAACCAATGGTGCCAGTTTCAAGCGAATCGAAGAAGTTTGGACCCGGGTTCAAATCCCGGTGGGGTATATTTTGAACATTCTTTTTATTCGAGTTTTTGCATTGTTTCTTATGTTTTTGAGGGCGCTGATGACGGAAATAACATCCATTTTGACCCCAGACTCAGGTTCAAACCCGTCAGGGCTAAAGAAAGGCGAAATTCACACATTTGTTAATGTACGGGACGGGCCAAAGTTGCCGATGTATATCGCTACTTTTCCTGTTATTTGAAGATTGAGTAGGTTTGCTCGGAAACGGTGAGAAATTTGTTCCCCTTTTTTGTAGATAAAGTAGGTTTTCTCGGAAACGGTGAGGAATTTAACTTTCGGCATTTTTCCCAATTTTCCCATAAAATTTGGAATCGAATGGAAAAAACCGCAAGTCTCTACGACCACTCCTTCACCCCAAACATTTCTATGAGTGAGTGAGTGAGTGAGTGAGTCAGTGAGTCAGTGAGTCAGTCGGATTGGGGCTTTATAGGTTCTTGATCCCTGCTGAGCGTCCGTCCGTCCGTCCGTTCGTCCGAGGACTTCCCGTGGTCCGATCTTGACCAAATTTGGTATGCAGCCTTCTTGGGTGACCCTAAGAACCGCCCGGTGGCAGCAAATCCGATCCGAGCCCCGGGGGCGCTGCTGCAGGTGCATCATGGTCTACATGGGGTCGAGGAGGATCTCGGCAACGGATGCAGCTAGGAGGGCATGTAGGGGTATTTTTGGAATCGGGGCGACGAGAAAAAAACAATGGTGCCAGTTTCGAGCGAATCGGAGAAGTTCGGACCCGGGTTCAAATGCCAGCGGGGTATTTTTTGAACATTCTTTTTATTCGAGTTTTTGCATTGTTTCTGATGTTTTTAAGGGTGCTGATGACGAAAATGACATTAATTTTAACCCCAGATTCAGGTTTTAATTCCGTCGGGGTCAAACATAGGTGAAATTCGTACGTTTCTTAATGTACGGGACGGGCCAAAGTTGCCGATGTATATCGCTACTCTTCCTGTTATTAAAGTATTGGCATTATCTTACTCCAAACCGGATATCATGGTTTATCATTGTTGCTTTTTTCATACATGTATAGGTAGACAAGGCTCAAAATAAAGGGTCACTTAAAGGTTTAGATAAAATGGCAGAACAGAAACAGGACAAGCTGCATAGACAAATCCATACACAGCTGGCTCACTATGGACGCCGCTGGCTTCCCCCAGGCTAGTGTTACTGAAGTTATAACTTCCTCATTCCTATGTCACTGAACCGATTCACTCACTTCCGAGCCAGAACCTGAGAGCCACCACTAGCTGATGACAGTGGTCGCTGCTGGTCGACAATCCCCAGGACGGCGAAGTTATCCGGCAAGGACTCTGCGGGTTCCGAAAAGTCCTGGCAACCAACGAGGCACAACTTCAACACAAAAAACATCAAAGAAATAAAGCTTCACTTGGCCGGGCACCTTCTCAGAATCAAACCCAACTCGGTTTGTCGGTTCGATTAGTACCTTTCCTTAACTACGGTGCCATAAACACCCGGCAGCGAGGTCTGACCATGAAACTCGGTTTGATTCCGGTTTAAAAACCGTGCTTTCGAGGGTGTGGGGGGTCTAAATGGGATCAGTGAACCTGTAAGCCCCAAACCCACAATCTAGCAGAGTAAATCGAATCTGACTCCCTGAAATCTCTCGCTGTTCATATCAAAATGGCAGACCTTAGCTTCTTCCGGAAGTGCAAAAATATTAAGGACGTCCGTTTTCGGAAAGAAATCTGGTGAAAAAAAATCTCATTCAACGAACGTTAATGAAAGTAGAACATACTTGTTTGGTTTTCTTCTACGGGGTAGTATGGGCTCATGGCTCATTCCAAAGATAGTATTGAAAAACTGAGTCCTTTGTGCCGTGGCCTGCACCGCCGAGCCGTGCCCGTTGGATTGCGAGCACTCGGTGCCTCTGCGCTGTAGCGGGGAGGGATTGTCAATGCTGCGCGCAGGCCGTCGCGAGCGAGGAGGGGGTGCCATTGTCGATTCGCGTAGGCTGCGCCTCATCGCCAGCCAGACACACCAGCCCGCCCCGGCAGGCAGCCCCTATTATATTGTTAGGATAAGCGCTTGGTTTCTGGACTCGAGAGTAAAAGCACGCTGACACCTTCATGTGTATAGTAGTTTTAAGCGTGTTTTAAGTGTGAAGGTATCATCTGCTAAAAACGGTGGAGCCACCACTGTCTACTCACCCTGCGGCAGTGTGGGCAGCTCAGCGGCTGCAGCCCCCCCAGGCAGTGGCTGCAGAAAGTGTGGCCGCAAGGCAAGCTCTTCGGCCGCCTCTTGGCCGCGTCGTAGTCTTCCAGGCAGACGGGGCACTCCATGGCCGAAAGGCTGAAAGACTGCGTAACAGGAGCGATAAAGATCTATACATTCAAAGCGAGCAGTGGCGGATCCAGAGTCGGCCCGGGGGGGGGCAAAGTAGCACTTTTTGCCTACTTACAGGGGCAAATTGGCGCTTTTTGCCTACCTTTCAGGCGGCTATCAAGGGGGGGGGGGGGAGATTGTCCTTTTCCCCCCCCCCCCCCCCCCCCCCGGATCCGCGTTTGAAAGCGAGTGAAGTGGTTAGAAATCTACACTCTCATTCCGGGAACGTGACATCACGTTGATTTCGACGACCGACACTTTTGGGCGTGTCTTTCCAGTCGCCAGGGCACAGGAAATGAGTACCGCCGCCGCCAGTTTAGCGTCTACGGCATGTAGTTCCCGAGATACGGAGACCTACCAAGAGTTCGCCATGGAAGCCGGCCAGGAAAGTCGTACACTCTCAGCTCGTTACAGACTTTTTCCTCATTAATTACGTATTCGTGTAAGCAACAATAATAGTTAGAGTTTTGTAAGAAAATATGACTAATTTCCTTTGTAAAATTATGTACATTATTTAATATTCCCTAAGAAGTTCTTTAAAAAGGGTCAAGTACGTACTATGGTTGCACAAATTACTTGCAGAAGTACGTACTGACGAAAAGAGCCAAATAAAAATCTGTAACGTGCTAAGAGTGTACTTTTAGCTGCTCTGGACCCCTTTGGAGGTCCAGGACTTTCGGCTTCGGAATTGCGTAGAGTGGGTTCGTGACGACGAACGTAGTGTGACAACTGGTTATTGCTCATGGTTGCATGGAACATGATCGTGCCATACATGGTCTGGAACGTCGGGCATGGTGGACCTTGTCCGACGGCATCCTTGACGAGCCGGTGGCCTTGATCGCTGACCCCCAAGTAGCCTGGGCCCCCCTTCACGCAATACCGGAGTCGGAAGTCCCGGACCTCCAACGGGGTCCTGGTCACTAGCTTTGGCCCCGAACTAAAGTACGACTTCCTGCCCGGTGTCGACGGCGTCCTCGTGGCACGTCCTCGCATCTCGGGGACCGCATGCCATAGAAGAAAACCGATAGTAGCGTTGGGTTCCATTTGCCCGAAAGACCCGAAGGACGTCATCATGGGTTTTAGGGTGTTTTGACGTGAATAACGACGGAACGTCTTTTGACGAAACGCCGTCGATGTACAAGGTAGGTGTACGCCAGACTGTGTCTTGTCGTAACAGGCTTCGCGATGCTGCGCCAGTTTCGACCATCCACGCCTGGCGTATACACCTACCTTGGCCTGCGGCGCTAACCTGCCTTCGGCAGGCTGCCTTCCTTGGCAGACCGTGGAAATAGGCGTGATCCCCTCAAAAAGAGCATTTGGTCATCAAAATCTTACCAATGGGGCTAAACTTTCGGTCGGAGGTCTGAATTGGTTCTATTTTCGTCATCAGCAGCCTCAAAAACATTAAAACCGACACACTAAATGTCATGGGACTTTTTTTGTCCCACGAATGATGCAATTTTAAGCACATCCGGTGGTGATGCAATTTTGTGTCCGCCAGGCGGGACAAATTGTCTAGTGAAAGTACAAGTTGCAGCTGGCGCTAGACAAAATGTGTCACGAGACGGCAACAAAATTGTATCAGCGTCGGATGTGCTTAAAATTGCATAAACCGTGGGACAAAAAAAGTCCCATAACATTTAGTGTGGACATTGAACTTGACAAAAAGTCTAAAGTTCCAAAAAAGTTGTCTTTTTCCTGCCGTTTTTGAAGTGTTTTTTGGCTAATATGACCGAATGGATTGAGATAGAAAGCTGAATTTTGGTGTGTAGCGAGCTAAGGATATGCCCAATGACCCTGCAAAATCTCAGCAGAATCGGCCGAGCCGTTTAGGAGGAGTAGTGCGGACACACACACACACACACAGACATGAAAAACTTTTCAACCCCACTGGAGTAACAGGCTTCGCTATCGCTCAGCCAACAATGGGCGCAGAATTTTAAAGGAATGGCCCAACTCTCATTGGACTACGACGTGGCATTGATGAAATTTCGTCAACCTACGACGCCTGGAAAGTCTTTCGTCGTTACGATGAAAATCCTTAGCGTACCATAAAGGGCGAATCCAGGTCAACTTGAACGGGGTTTGACCCCGACCCCCTCAGAACTTGCACCAAACAGTCTTAAGGGGGCTCATACAAGTTAAAAGCACTTTTTTTAAAAAAAATTTTGATGTAGACGGATTTAGATTTTACAATTTCTGTCTTAAAATCCTTTTAGATAATTGAGTAAGCTTCTTTTTGGCTTAAGGGAAAGTGACTTTGGACATTTTTGGAGATTTAGTCGAAACGTTTAAAATTTTTCTTCTCGTAAGATTTTGTTCGCATACTTGCTCAGATCTGTGGGGAAAAAATCAGGGAGACTCATCCCCCGTAGTGTCATAGAATGACTACAATGGGCTTTTTATCTGCAATAGTTTTTAAGAAAAAAAATAAAAACAATTTTTGTTGAAAAATTTGTTTAAAAAATTGTTAAAAAAAAAGTTTTTTTTTTTCTTGAAAACTATTGCAGATAAAAGCCCATTGTAGTCAATTCTATGACACTACTGGGGGTGAGTCTCCCTGATTTTTCCCCCCAGATCTGAGCAAGTATGCGAACAAAATCTTACGAGAAGCAAAATTTTAAAAGTTTCGACTAAATATCCAAAAAATGTCCAAAGTCACTTTCCCTTAAGCCAAAATGAAGCTTACTCAATTATCTTAAAGGATTTTAAGGCAGAAATTGTAAAATCTTAATCCGTCTACATCAAATTTTTTTTTAAAAAAAGTGCTTTTAACTTGTATGAGCCCCCTTAATTCATTAGTCCATACCTGAAACCACCCCAAAAACAATTTGGTTGAAAAATGTTAACATTTGGCTGAGCTGTGGCACTTTTTGTTTTTTGGTCAATTTTAGTGAAATTAGTACAATGAAAATTTGAAAAAACAATTTTTTCTCGAAATGGGGATTTTTGAGGCCTGATTTGTTTGATATGAGTTGTCTTATGATAGACCAATGCAATTTCGGTCATAGACCCCACCTCACTCAATTTGCACTGGAGGCTGAAGAATTTCTAGTAATTTTACCTAAAAATCGAAATATTTAAAACCCTTTCCCCACCTTTCAAAATGCATTCCTATGCATGAAAATCTACCCTTTGGGCCCTGGCAAAAAATATAAAAATCTGGGATGGAGTTTTTTAGTTAAGGAAATCATTCCAGAAAGCGCTACTTATGACTTGTCGATTTAGCTAAAACGCATGAAATTTCACCAAATGTAAAGTACGATAAGGTCAATCTTGCTATTTTAGTCTCTTTATGCAGTATCAGAGGCAAATGGAGTTTGAGGGGAGTAAAAGAGAACATAAATACAGTTTGCAAATGTACTACGAACACCAACCTTTGACAGCTTCTTAATAGGAAGTCTAAGAAAATATAATACGTAATAATCAAGTGGATCTGGCGTAATTGTTAATCGATTTTCACCTTTTACTTCTGCTGTCTGTCTCATTTTTGTCCACTTCTGTCCTGTCTTTTGTGTCTGGAGGGAATGCCATTTCTTATTGTTGAGCCTCCAACTCAGTTTGGTGATGGAACCCAAACGGCCAACTCAACTCGAGACGGAACCAACCATAGAGAGTAATTCCAGCCCATGGTGGAACGAAATCCGGGCTTGGGTCATGGAAGCTTTGTGGGTTCAATTGATACCAGTGAGACATATCAACCCTAGGAGGAAAGTTGCCTAGCTCCAACAACACTTGAGATGTCTACATTTTTCTAAATTTTAAAAAAGTTAGCGGAAAAATGTCGCTTTCAGAATTTTTGATAACTAAGTTGTTTTTTTCAGTTCTAGCTTGTGTTTCCTTCTTCTGCCTAACCTTCATTTAGGTAAAATTATGACTAGCCAGAACTGTAGAAACAACTTTAACTATCCAAAAATCAGAAAGCGTCATTTTTCCGTTAAATTAGTAAAATATAGCAAAATGTAGATATCTCAAGTGACCTTTGAGCTAGCCCACTTTGCACCTAGGGTTGATTTGTCATACTGGTGCCTATTGACCCAACAAATCTTGAACCGATTCCGTGACCCAAACCCGGATTTCGTACCACCATGGGCTGGAATTACTCTCTATGGTTGGTTCCGTCTCGAGTTGAGTTGGCCGGGTTCCATCACCAAACTGATTTGGAGGCTCAACAATAAGAATTGGCATTCCCTCCAAACACTAAAGACAGGACAGAAGTGGACAAAAATGAGACAGACAGCAGAAGTAAAAGGTGAAAATCGATTAACAATTACGCCAGATCCACTTGATTATTACGTATTATATTTTCTTGGACTACCTATTAAGAAGCTGTCAAAAGTTGGTGTTTGTAGTACATTTGCAAATTGTATTTATGTTCTCTTTTACTCCCCTCAAACTCCATTTGCCTCTGATACTGCATAAAGAGACTAAAATAGCAAGATTGACCTCGTCGTACTTTACATTTGGTGAAATTTCATGCGTTTTAGCTAAATCGACAAGTCAAAAGTAGCGCTTTCTGGAACGATTTCCTTAACATAAAAAACTCCATCCCAGATTTTTATATGTTATTGCCAGGGCCCTAAGGTAGATTTTCATGCATAGGAATGCATTTTGAAAGGTGGGGCAAGGTTTAATATTTCGATTTTTAGGTAAAATTACTAGAAATTCTTCAGCCTCCAGTGCAAATTGAGTGAGGTGGGGTCTATGACCGGAATTGCATTGGTCTATCATAAGACAACTCATATCAAACAAATCAGGCCTGAAAAATCCCCATTTCGAGAAAAAATTGTTTTTTCAAATTTTCATTATACTAATTTCACTAAAATTGACCAAAAAACAAAAAGTGCCACAGCTCAGCCAAATAATAATATGTTTCAACCAATTTTTTTTTAGGGTGGTTTTAGGTATAGACCAATGAATTAAGACTGTTTTGTGCAAGTTCTGAGGGGGTCGGGGTCAAACCCCGTTCAAGTTGACCTGGATTCGCCCAAAACAAGCAGGAAGTGTTGTTGCTCAGCAACAGACCCTAGAGCTGCCAGGGAATTCCCTGAGGCGTGCCGTTAAGCCATGAAAGTATTGCTGGAGTACAAATATTTATAGAGTGCTCTTTCCCGATGCAGTGATTTTTGTATATTTAGCCCCTGACACCTTACCTTGAGTCCCACGCGATGCTCGGTCAGGGACGCGCGAAAGGCAACTGCGCCTGACCGGCTAGACCGATGTTTTAGATAAAGGCCACTCGTCGGGCCGGGCGCTGCTATCTCGCCGATAATGCTCTCAAGGACCCCCCGTCACGGAGTAGAACGCTGGTAAGACTCAGCGTCACTGTATGCTTGACTCATGCATAACGTTACGCTTACGAATACAATGCTCAATCCTTACCATACTCAAATTTGCACCTGATACGGGCACGGCCACAGTCCGAACTATTCACTGTGGCAAAATGCTACGGAAAATTCTGTTAAGAGGAGGCTAAAGTGAGCCCCGCCGAGCGCGCTGGAAGGAGCGCGCCGCCTCGGGAGGCGATGTAGACCGAAACGTATATTTTGTTTTCTCGCAAACGCCTTGACCAAAAATTCTGAAACTTTGCACGAGCCTTTCCCAAAGGGTCATCCTCGCCGCCGGTCAGGTCAGATTTTTTCCCAAAAATCCGATGCGTTAAATTTCTAGTTTTGAAATTTTGAATGAAGTTAAGCCACAGCCAGAGCGGCAATGCGCCAGGTATGCAAATTTGGCGACCGCCATCCTTTAGGCAATCTTGTTCTGTAACGCGTCTCCAATTTTCGCGTCGATGCCTGTAACGATGCGCCGTAATTTTACCAAACCGTGAACCTCTACATAGCGCCCTGAGGGCTCCCAGCCTGCGTCCGCGCGCGGGGCCTGGCCTGCCGGGGGGGAATAAGGGACCGGCCCCCCAGTGCTCCCGTCCCCCGCGCCCCTCCACCCACCGCGCTCCGCCCGGCCGTCCTGGCGGCGCTCTCGGTGCGTGTGTCTGCGTGTCGCCAGTGTGTCAGACTGTCCGCCGATTCATACCGCACGGCTCAGCATTTCGCGTCCCGCTGCTACCCGGCGGGGCCTGCTGGCCGGGCCTCCTGGGCCTGGGCTGCCGGCCGTGCGTAGCGGAGGCGCGGGGCGCGTGCCGCAGGGAAGACCAAAACAAACACTATTTTCGTAGGTGGATGTTTCAGATAACAAGGTGTCCTTGTTCGGTACGATTCATTATAATCCAATCGAGACAATGTTGTTCAAGCACCTTCGTCTATTAGTCTCGATTGGCACCGGGTATCAAATTTTACTATTTGAAGAACTTAGCAAGGACGATCTGTCGGCGGCGGGGGGAGAGGGGTGGGGGTGTAGGTGTGGCACGCGTTTTGGCGCGCTTTCTGCCGCGAGCCCGCAGGCCTGGTGACGTGGCCCCTGACCGAGTGTTGTGACTGCCGTATCGCGACACGCGAGACTCAAAGGGTTGCCGCGCAGTCCTTGAGTAGGGTGTCCACACGCTCCGAGACGAAGTTTCTCGTTGTAAATTCACACTCAGGTAGCAATGAGCTTGGCCAAAGCCATCCAAGCCACCGAAAGGACGCACCCTGCTACCATATGCACCATGCGGTTGGGCAAAGAGGGCCAGCGCTGGCCAGCACGTAGCACGATGTCCAACACTTCTGGCGACCCTATGACAAGACGCCTAGTGATTCTAATGCCGGAAAATTTCCGGGGAAAAATGCAGAAAATTTCTGAAAATTTCCGTATTTTTCCAAGAGCCCCGGAAAAGATGGAAACATTCAAAAAATGCGCATTTTGCATGTTATTGAAGTCACATGACAAAATCGCTGAATTCCTGTCATTTTTGAACACAAAAGTCAGTCGCAGTGACTTGGTAACATTGTTTTTCGTGGCTTTCGTGGTTGTGGTCGTCTGCTGAAGCTTCTAGAAGGCAGTGAGGGGGATGGACACAAACGGGAGTGCATCGGTATTAGCAGTTGCCTTGTCTGGCGAATGTCAGGTGTTGTCTCAATAGTCCATCACAAGTGTCAGGTAAGCTAAAAGGAGTTGCTACGCTGCCCACCTTTTAAGTATTGATTCACTCGCCCCCGCCGATCTCGTCGCCGTCGCTAGATTTGATTTTGACTGCAAATGTCACAATGTGGATAGGGATAGGGGTGGATAATTAAGTTTTGTCAATAAACGGCCTTACGGAAAAGTATTGCCTTCAGAACGGCGATACATAGAAGTATCGCCAAAATTTGGCGATACTTTTTGGTATTGCCAAAACCACGGCATTAAACTAAGAACTTGTCCCCTTGATTTGTTAAACGTTTATTGCCAAATGGCAATACTCCAAAGTATCGCCAAATTTTGGCGATACATTTGTGTATTGCCGTTTTGAAGGCAATACTTTTTCGTAAGGCCGTTTACTGGCAATACTTAATTGTATCGCCAAAACAGGTACCAAAAGTATCGCCATTGGATTTACAGTGGAGACAGGTAAGGTAGTGTCTGTACTTTTGTCCTGTACTGCTCCATCGTACTCTGATTTTGTTGATTTGAATCCATTTAATCCATAATACTTCTGCAAATATAAAAAATGGTTAATTGTTTTCCTTTTTCTGCACCTCACACAAGTTTCCCCACCGTTTTACCACGTTTTCTGACATTTTTGCAGCAAAACTTACTATTTTTCCAAATTTTTCAATTTTTCTGGAATTTTTCCGTATTTTTCCTATTTTTCAGGAAATTTTCGGAAAAGTTGAATCTTTCCGGAAAATTAGAAACACTAAAGACGCCGCCTTGCCTGGCCCTCAGAGCTGCTGAATGTCAGCAGACTTCAGTATGTGTCTGCAAGTGGTAGAGTGAACAGCTCTCCGCGGCTCTCTCAGCGTTCTTGCTCGCAAACTTTGAGATTCTTTGCGTGTTTTTGTTGTGTTATGTGCCGATTTTTGTGTCGTAATGGGCAAACGAAAAGCATCCTACGATCGGAAGAGCAGCCGAAGCAACGCGCTTCGCGCAAGGTAAGTGACTGCTGTGCGATGCCTCTACCCGTGGACAGTTGTTCAAAGCTCTCTAAACCTGTGACTTGCGCAGTGGACTAGCTGCTGCCGCGAGGCGTCTCGCAGCGCGCGTGCTGCAGCGCGCTGCAGACCTTGCCGACGATCCACTGCAAGCAGAGGCGCTAGAGGCATGGCCCGTCGCGGATGCAGGTGAGGTGCGCGCACCCACCCCTCCTGTTCAGGCAGGTGAGGCGCGAGCACCGACGCCTGGAGCTGACTCAGATGAGATGCGCGCCCCCTCGCCTCCCGCGGTACCATTGATGACGCCGAGGACGCCCTCCTCGCGCGCCCCTGCAACACATGCCACAACTCTCACCTCCACCCCTAGGGTACCTCCGAGGCCACCAAGGGCTGATGGTGGGGTGTTTGATTTCGAGGAGCCGTCTCCTATACGGCCAGTGAGAGACGCAGACGAGGCAATGTAATTTCCATTTGAATCTGACTCTCTGTGCCTTCCACTTTATTTTTCGGGGTCAGGGAAAATTATCTGCTTTGTTTCTTTCCTAGTGCACCCACTGAGGGTCGTGCTGCTCACGCTGTGGCCGAGGCCGAAACGCTGACAGGGCGGCGAGTTATCAGGATCATGGAATTTATCCGGCAGATCCAAAATGACCGCCACTCTGAAGCGTTTGGCTGCTCCTTCAAGAACAGCGAGTTCCAAAGAGAAGTGCGGAAAGGGTTCCAGTCAATCCTGGTGTTCAAGTGCTCCATGTGCAATGAGGAGACCAGGTTGAACACGGACCTACGTGGCCCGGATGAGCTTGGCGTCAACGACGCCATGGTCCTTGGTGCTGTCGCCGGTGGGGGTGGTTTTGCCAATGTGGACGAGATCGCAGCGGCAGCGGACATGCCGTGCATGTCGCAGCCAACTTACATCGCCCACGAGGCGAAGGTAGGCGCGATGTTCGAGCAAGCCGCGCTGGAGAGCATGCAGAAAGCAGGTGCGGAGGAAAAGCGTCTGGCGCTGGAGAACAACGACTTAGCGCCAGACGGCACGCCACGGATCAGGGTCATCGCGGACGGCATGTGGAGCAAGAGGTCCTACGGGAACAAGTACGATGCCAAATCAGGCACGGTGAGTCGAGGGGCTTTCGCGGGCCAGATAACAGAGAGCACGTTTCAATTTTTACGTATGTTTTTACTTACAGGCAAGTATAGTTGGATTCCGCACGCGCAAAGTGCTGTACTACGGCACGCGCAACAAACACTGTTATGTGTGCGTGCTCGATGCCAACCAAAACAAACCAAAGAGGGACCACGAGTGCTCCAAAAACTTTACCGGTCACAGCGGCCAGATGGAAGCTGCGATAATTCTTGAGGGATTCAAGGCCAGTGTTGAGATGCACGGCGTGAAGTATTACCAGCTCGTGGGCAAGTTCTCCACACTAACTTCGTTCTATAATTTTTTTTGTCATGCAAAGCAAAATAAGTATAAATTATTTCATTTCAGGTGACAGGGATTCTAGTGTCTACAACACGTTGCTAGAAAAACCACCGTACGGGTCCCTTGAGTTGGTGGAAAAAATAGACTGTAAGAACCACCTACTGCGGAATTATCGTTCGTGGACTATTGAGCTCCACGGCAACACCAAGCTTCCTCTGCCTGATCACGTGGACCCGAGGGACCAGCGAGCCGTGACCGCCATGAAGAAGGAGATGTTAGCCTTGCGGTGCCACATCAGAGACAACGTCAAGAGGCTTTCCAACGGCATCGCCAAGGCCAGCACATACAGGGGAGCAGAGAAAGGTAATGGAAATTTCGGTTTGGTGAAGGGGCGCAGAGGTTGCAGTCGTCAGCTAATCACTAGCGTGTTTTTTTTTGCAGATCGGCTGGATGTCCGTATTCAACGGCTACAGCAGGACATACTGAACGTGGCAGCGCATGTGTTTGGCCAGCACACAGCGTGCGGTACGTACTTTTGTGAGACAGCCAAAGCCCGCGCGGCCGCGGCCACCCCTTCAACATCAGCAGCCCCTGCCCAAGCCGCGGCCACCCCTTCGACATCAGCAGCCCTTCCCCAAGCCGCGGCCGCGATCCCAGCGGAGGAAAACTTGGTGCCCCGGCTGCAGGCGGCAGGCCTGTGGAGCGAGTTGATGCGACATTTGAACGTGATGGCTGACCATGCTAACAGCCTCATACATAATGTTAGCACAAATATTTGTGAGATTGCTAACAGCCAGACAGCTAAATTTATAGCGGGAAAGAGAATCTTCTACTCAGCTCGAGCCTCTTTCACGAGGAGGGTTGGAGCTTCCACCCTCGCCATGAACACTTCTGGGAATTTCCGAAAAGTGGTGCACAAAAAACTTCAAAACGGTACCAGCCCTGGTAATTAGCTTTTTTTCCTTGTGTTGTGCAGTCGAACAACGGAATTTGCATTGCCTAACTAAGTTTCTTCCCGCAGGTCATTTCACCACCAAGCAGTCTGAGAGGAAAGCCAAGCGCCTTGTCAACCAGCGGAAGCGCCGCGCCCTGTTCAAGGACCGCCCTCGCCCCGCAGCCCCTGCAGGCCGCAACAAGCATTACGGCCTTGCGGCGAGAGCACCCGGTGAGAATGAGGACGACCCTGCCCCGCTGCTTGACGAAGACCCGAAGCTCCAGGAAAACATGGACAAAGTCCTGGAGACTCTGCAGCAGGGCTTGAACCGCCGCTCCGAGCTCTCTGCTCTGGTCCAGGGCAGCTACGAGTGGAAGGCCGAGCGGAAAATCCGATTGACAGCCGCAAATTTCGGGAAAGTATGCAGGCGGACGTCCACCACGTCATGCAAGAAGCTCGTGCACAGCCTAGTCTACCCAAAGTCCTGCGGTGTACCGTCCATAAGGCACGGCAACAACACGGAAGAAATCGCTCGGTCTCACTTTGAGAGGAAATACGGCGTCCAGGTGAAAACATGTGGACTTGTTGTGGACCAGTATCTGCCATACTTAGCGGCCAGCCCAGGTAAGCTCAACGCATGTTACCCGTCAGCATGGCATTATCCCATACTAAGTTGTTTTAACAAAAGTACTGTTCATCACAGATGGGTTGATTGGCAACGACAAGCTCTTAGAGATCAAGTGTCCAACCAGTGGCGTTGATTTCACATCCGCAGAGGACGCGGTTAGGGCTAAAAAGGTACGTTTTTGGTTATTGGCGGTTTGATATTTACTTTTGTCTGTTATTTCTGAAAGTCTAAGCCATTTCAGCTCGAATATCTGAAATTCGGAGATGATGGAGAGCTCTTTTTGGACGAAAATAGTGAGTACCACTATCAGCTTCAAGGACAACTGCACGTGACCGAGCGCGAAGAGTGCCACTTCTACATCTACCAAAGCACGATGGCAAAAAAGAAGGTTCCGGCGCAGTTCTTGTGGGACAAAACATTTGTTATAAAGAAATGCGATACATTCTGGAACACCAAGATGCAGCAAAAACTCTCTGAGTCAGTACCGAACTTTGTTCAATGTGTCGTAGTTTTTGAACTCAATTTACGATGCAATTCGCACCAATCCGCCTATTATTTTTTTCAGGTTTTACCTTGAATGTCTCCTTCCTGAAATTGCGTCCCCTAGGTACGTCCTAAGAGAAAGAGTAGACGACATTCGGGAGCCTCAAAGCATTTTAGATGCTATAAGAGAGAATGAACTAGCGAAGGAGCAAAAGGCCCAGGAGTTGGAGAGGAGGAAGAGAGAAAGAGAAGAGAAACGGAGACAGAGAGAGGAGCTAAACAGAGACAGGCAGGCGCGAGAGGCAAGAAGGAGAAAAACACACGTGTAAGGATTACTTGCACATAGCCCTTGTTTCTCATATCTTGTTGCATTTTTTTTAAAATGATTTCTACGTGTGTGCTTTTTAAATCTAATGTTACTCATGTCATGACGATCATTCAAATTTTTGATTGTTCCGGTTATTACTTTACCCTTCGCAATAAATCAGAATAAATTGCACAACAATTTGAACCCATTTCATTATTACCAAAAACTGTTAATTTCGGCGAGGGCCACCCGTTGATCTAGAGAAAGCGAACAGCACAATCGGGCACGAGTGCGTCCGCCAAAATGACACTGCGGGCGGTCTTCCCTGCGGCACGCGCCCCGCGCCTCCGCTACGCACGGCCGGCAGCCCAGGCCCAGGAGGCCCGGCCAGCAGGCCCCGCCGGGTAGCAGCGGGACGCGAAATGCTGAGCCGTGCGGTATGAATCGGCGGACAGTCTGACACACTGGCGACACGCAGACACACGCACCGAGAGCGCCGCCAGGACGGCCGGGCGGAGCGCGGTGGGTGGAGGGGCGCGGGGGACGGGAGCACTGGGGGGCCGGTCCCTTATTCCCCCCCGGCAGGCCAGGCCCCGCGCGCGGACGCAGGCTGGGAGCCCTCAGGGCGCTATGTAGAGGTTCACGGTTTGGTAAAATTACGGCGCATCGTTACAGGCATCGACGCGAAAATTGGAGACGCGTTACAGAACAAGATTGCCTAAAGGATGGCGGTCGCCAAATTTGCATACCTGGCGCATTGCCGCTCTGGCTGTGGCTTAACTTCATTCAAAATTTCAAAACTAGAAATTTAACGCATCGGATTTTTGGGAAAAAATCTGACCTGACCGGCGGCGAGGATGACCCTTTAGGAAGGCTCGTGCAAAGTTTCAGAATTTTTGGTCAAGGCGTTTGCGAGAAAACAAAATATACGTTTCGGTCTACATCGCCTCCCGAGGCGGCGCGCTCCTTCCAGCGCGCTCGGCGGGGCTCACTTTAGCCTCCTCTTAACAAGTTGTGATATTTCTCCGTAGCCCTTTAACTCTGTATGTACTTTCCCAGGATAGAAGAGAGTTAAGGGAATGATTGCAGGGAAAAAGAAACCGATCTAAAATGTTTATTTAACATAATTGCAACAAGACAAGGTTATAGATAACCTCAAATCAACTGACACTCCCTCAGATGTCAAAATAATTGAGGGCTGGGCCAGGTTCAATTCCAGCGAACAAGTCGAAGACATCAATGTGTCTCTGACACGATACAAACAACCAAAAATCAACTAACATATTTATATCGAAACAATTCCAAGGACACACATAAAATTGGTGTAAAAGACAAAATACACACATAGTAAAAACGATTTGCTGCAAGTTGCAAGTTTGTAACAACTCGAAACTGCCACTCAAATTTGAATTTTCAGCCTTCATTGCTCAGTCAAATTATTTATTTAAGATAAAAAACAATACAAGTTCCTAAATTAGAATATAAATTCTTGAGGCTAAGAAACAAACTTAATTGTTTAAGTTAGCCTAAGCAGTTCTGAACTGACCACTACCTGATTAGAACTTGAGGTTTCCGTAATTGTCGAAACACTTCCTGCAGTTCGCTCGGACACTTATGGGCCGTCAGTTTCAATTATCTTGAGGGTACACGCCTCACAGAGGCAGTGAATGCAACTTTTAAGTTTGGACTTTGGCACTTTCTCATAACAGAGCAAACATTTTAAGGGGGCAATAGCGCCATTGACATCTTTTTTGCTAAGTTCGTAGAGTTGTGAGTAGGGAAGGCAGGGAGTAAATCACGACACCACAGCTCGATGCAGAATGATCCCAGAGCTGCTTGGAGGGGAAGTTGAGAGGAGGGGGGAGAGAGAGCCGCATTATGAGAATTTTAAGGTGAAGCGGAAAAGAAGCATAGAAGGCTATGAAACGGTTCTCACACCCCTTCCCCCAAAGAGCCCCCAGCAGGTAGGAATGTAATTCAGAAATAGATTCAAATTATACAATTACATCAGACTTGTAAAGAGAGTGCTAAATTACAGGTAAATAAGCAGAACATTTATACAGAAACATAAATTGTTCTTTGTTGGAACAGAAAATAATATTAGAGTTCAACAGAAATGGTCAATATTTAATGGACACAATGAATTACAGTTAGTCATAATCATAATATTCAGGTACCGAGCTGTTAGACAGCAGATGGCGGAGGTCAGTATCACTTAGACTGTTCACGTAGTCCCGCAGGTTACCCGGACGGCGAGTGACACGCTGGGGTCGTTGGTTGGCCGCGGGGGCGGGTCCGCCTCGGGGCCCTGCCGCTGCTGCGGGGGCGGGCCCACCTCGGGGCCCCGCCTGGCCCGACCCGCTGGCACTTGTGGCCGTGGCAGGTGCGGGCCTCCTTCCTGATGAGCTCCCAGCTCCAGTTCCGCGGTGAGGCCCACCCTGGGGCCCTCTACCGGGTTGAGGATAGGATGAGGCTTTGGAGGAGCTACTAGGCCCACTCTGAGCCCTAGCAGCGGGTCGTCCCCTCCCCCCAGAGCACGCCATGCCGCGGAGAGGCCCACCATGGGGCCCTCTGCCGGGCAGGGAGGCGCGCTGGTGGACCGGGGAGAGGGAATCCCGATACTTCCTCCGCTGCCTCCTGTCCCAGGTTTTGTACCGGGAATCGACTGGGCTGCGTTCGTCATCCTTACTCGTGCCGGTTTCCGGGCTTGGGGGAGCGGCGTCGGAGTGGAGGCTCGAAGAGGGCGGCGACGTCGGGGAGGACGTCGTCCAGGTCGACGCCTTCGATGTCGACTCCTCGACGCGCCCTGCGTCCTGGCGCAGGGGCGGGAGGATGGACGGCGGCCTGACATCCCTGGGGGTCGACGCTGGCTCCGTGCTGTGCTGGCGCGACGCACCGCTCGCCTCACGTATGACGATGGGGGAGGTGGCCGCGTCGACCATTGGAGCCGCGGGACCCCTGCCCGGCGTCGCGAACCCTGGCCACTGGTACCGCGGGGAGGTCGCCACGCTCGACGTGACGGGCGCGGCCCCGGGCCCTACGGGGGGCACCGGAGCGACCGCGGGCACCACGGGTGGCTGCGACGCGGGTGATGGAACATGAGGAGGATGAGGAGGCTCCGCTGTACCTGGTGGAGGTCCTGGTGGCGGTGGCGAAGCCTCCATAGGGCTCGGCCCCGTCCACACTGGCAACCGCGGTTGCCGCGGCGGTGTGGCGGGCAGGGTTCCGTCGGCCGGGAGGGGAATGGACCCCGGCCCCAACTCCTCGAGAATGTCCTCTGCTACCGCCGTCCAGGGGTCGTCCTCCTCGTGCAGATCCCACCATGACCGACGGGTCCGCGTCGAGGTGGGGCTGTCCAAAAGCAAGGTGTCTTCGTCGACGTCGTCCATTGGCTGGGGGTCCATGGTGTGCCGACGGCGCAGTTGGCTTTGTCGACGAACAAGACATTCGCCCTGCAACAATTGGACCACATAAATAACAGTGCCTTTACGTTCCTTAATTACGGCAGGCAGCCACCCATGGTGCTTTCCCGCTTTGTAATTTGCAGCCCAAACTGCAGTCCCAACCGGAAAACAAATATCCCCTTTTTCCGGGCGCAACTTGTGCGCCACGGTGCGGGGCTGCCTATTGTTCAGGCGCTGAGCCGGACTCAGATTATGTTTTCCGGGGGTGAAACGATGGGATTGAAGTGCACGTGAGCGATTCTCACGTTTCGGGGTAGTTTTGGCGTCTCTGATTTGCCGAAAGTGAGAAATATCCAATTAAGTTTTTCTGATTATTGGGGTCCTGGATGATACTAGAGTTATGGCAATGGTATTTATAGTAAAGACCTTGTACTACCTTCCTAAAAACATGAGCCAGAAGGTATTCCCATACGTTTTAGTGGGTGTTTTGATCACGGAAATTACGTTATCACGGAAGTTACAAAGTGTGAAAATCGGCTTTAACGGCTGACTCGCGCTTGCTGTGGCTTAAAAGTCGTTCCAGGGTCAAATGATACTCTAAGCCCGACATTTCAGCGGAAAATTTTTTCACCTAGTGCTGCTGCACCATTGGGTAAAGGGTGCCACGGAAGTTACAGGTAATTGTTGATACACGCCATTTTATAATGCTCTAGCCCGCTTTGAGACCGTGTACAGCATCTAAGATTTCCGCGACCCATGCAATTATATCCCAGGGACTCCACTTTGATGGCTTGTGTCATGGAAAGTTGAAAGTTTGGCTTGGGGAGAAGTCCAGAGCTGCCTTTTCGAAATTAGTGCAGTGAAATTAAATACACGGTGGACATTTTTCGTTGCAGCATAAGTACCTTTGAAAGAAGTCTGGCGTATTGGTCTTCGGTTGAAATTAGCTCGAGACATGCCAAACTTCGAATTCCCATCGACAGTTGGCAGCATTTTCGAACCACACCGCCACACTGGGGGCGGAAAGTTCGAGTATGTTCTCTTTGGACAATCACGGAAGTTACATTTAGGGTATTCCAAACGCTACGTAGACCAATCCAACGAACGTGAACTTTTCGAAATGTGTGCGTTTAGTGGGCAATGGCCCTCCCTAACATCAGAAACAAACCCCATGTCGATATCTGCGCTCGTTTGGGCACAGGAGTCAGAAGAAACGAAACTACCCCGAAACGTGGGAATCGCTCACGTCGCAACCGGTCCTTCAAGGTCCCCCCGACGAATTTCTTGAGCAATGATTTGACAGTTTGGACGGCCTTTTCGGCCGGTCCGTTACTAAAGGGGCAGTAAGGGGCCGGCATTAAATGCCGCACCCCTAACTTGGCCAAATGCTCAGAGAAAACAGGGGAGGAAAAGGCCGTTGCATTGTCCGTGACTACTAATTCAGGGAGGCCGTGTTGGGCGAACGCTTCGTCCAGCTTTTCTAGGGCACTAGCAGTGCTAGGCCCACACACTAAATGTCATGGGACTTTTTTTGTCCCACGAATGATGCAATTTTAAGCACATCCGGTGGTGATGCAATTTTGTGTCCGCCAGGCGGGACAAATTGTCTAGTGAAAGTACAAGTTGCAGCAGGCGCCGGTCAAAATGTGTCACCAGACGGGAACAAAATTGTATCAGCGTCGGATGTGCTTAAAATTGTATAAATCGTGG